TTTTAGGTAATGGTGAGAAGTTAAAGAGATAGGTAGCAGGGAAAAGTCAGCTGCAAAAAGGCTGGGCTTATCATCTGAATTCCATGCCCAGTTTTTAAAATAACTTCTATCTGATCAGGTAATGCAATTTACAGTTTAGTAATGACTCTTGGCAAACAAATACATTTGCTTTTAAATGTTTACATTTATGCTTATCTTACACGACAGTGCTTTTGAGAAATCAAGTATCTACGTTTTAAATAATTGGCAACATGTACAAATTTATTTTGTATTATTTAGTTGCCTTCTTTGTGCAAGTATTTCCTGCCTCTGTATGATTCTAAATTCTCACATTCACAACAGCAAACACAGACTATAACTGTCCGTATAATTTGCCAAAGTGTACGGGTTTTTAAACGTAATACTTAACCATGGGCAAAATTGGAACTATCTAGAAGTGAAGTCATAGAGCCATTCACTATAATTGTTTCACTTACTTCATTGTCACAAGGGCAGTTTTCACATTTATTTCGTGTTTTCTTGCAAAGCAGTCCTAAAAATACATTATTTTTTTTCTGCTTTAGACACATACAAAATGCATACATTTTTATACTAATCCTTCGTGCATGCTTGACAGGCCACATTTTAAAATACAATATGTTTTTTTTTTCCCCCTGAGCATTAAAAACTGATCCCTTTTTTCCCTCTTTTTATCAGAGTGTATGGTGTCATATCTATAATAACAACTGTTCCTTTGCATTATGTTTTGAATCCATAGTAATCTATTTGCTTATGGCTTTTATTAACATTATTGTATACGTATTAGAAGTCTTATACTCCTTGGGAAAAAAAAAACAACTAAGAAGTTTCATTTAGAATTCATTTCCTATAGGTTAATGGAAAGCAATAAGTATAAACAATAAAACAAAAGCCCTTTGGACCCTGTTTTATTCTTCCCCCATAGTGCAACTTTTGCCAAAAATGCTTTTATTTCTGGTCTACTTCATTCTTCAGATAATACATAAGACGCCACTTCAGAGAGACTTCTCTAAGTATGTAGGTATGTACTGAGTCACAGTACACTGTTTATTTCTTTCGAAGTCAGTTGAAATTTATGATTGTTAATTTGATTTATCGCTTTGGTTTTTCCGCAAGGTGCCAAGTTAGCCAAAGCCATGTCTTTTTTTGTTCACTATCCAGAGGAGGCGAAAGGCGGATTTCCCACTCAGGTGTAGGGCCTTTAAGGAATGGAGGAGAGGCGTCGTGGGTCTCACTAGTTGCTTGCTCCCTGAAGGATGAGAAGCCGGGGGAGGGGTGCATGGGGACAAGGGGCAGAGCTCCTGCATAGCCATTGGATTGCACCACGGATGTTGCTGAGGCCAGATTTGGGTGAGCAGCGGTCTCAGCGGGGCGGCTGAAGCATGGGACATGGACGCAGAATGGCAGGGCCATTTGGAGGAATGGGCAAGCCCCAGACTGAGCAGTTCCTTAAGCTATGACGAGGAGATTGAATCTGCTCAAAGTGCCACGTCAGGATCAGTTGACTAATCGCAGTGTGATTTATTGGGAAATACTCGAGCATAAAAATATTCAAAATGGAAGGCTACCAGATGTATTTAAGAAATAATCTGAAAGATGATCTCACTATAGTGAAAATAGATATTTTGAAGCTGTAGATTTTTAATATGGTGAGGCAGTGGCTCTGGATTCAAATTTCCTTAATTCCCAACTGGGTCGACCCCCTCCAAGTGTAGGATTTGGGCTGGTTACGTTAGAACCCCAAGCCCCAGTTTCTCGTTTTTTGGATGGAGATAATGGTACTGAATATCTCACTGAATAATAGTAAATGATATGAAATTGAGACTATACCTTTATTAAATGAAATTCAGAACTTTTTTTTGTAAACTTTATTTATTGCTCTTCCTGTTTTTTTAATTACACCATTTCTCTTTCAAAAGAGAGAAAAGAAACCGGAAGAATTAATACAGTATTCTAAGGTGACATATTAGTGACTTGTATAGCATGAGGAGAACTATCATCTTGCCTAAGAGACCGCCTGGGTCAGCTAGTCTGCAGGCATTTCCCCATTTCATGGTCACGTGATATTTCTGTCTCCTTTTATAAATAAGGATGTGAGTCAAAGGCAGTTTATGCAGTTTGTTCTAGATCAGCTGTTTAGAAGGTGGCAAACTCAGAGCTGGAACCAATAGAGTCTACAGTCCAGTGTTAACTTACATATTAACCTCCTCTTTAGTGAGGAATAATGTGTTTAGTAATACATATTATTTAAACATTGTATACCCACCAAATTGTTTTTATTTGGTTATGTACTGCATCAAAAAATACTTGCAGGAATCATGATACCTGATCGTGTGAACAATTTTAACAGCTTTACTGAGGTGTGATTAATACAAAATACTGCATGTATTTAATGCATACGATTTGCTAAGTTTGGGCATATAAATGTACTCGTGAATCAAGGTAATAAATATATCCATCACCTCCCAGCATTCCCTTGTGCCCCACCCCCACTTTTTGTGAAAATAATGCAAAAATCCGAATAAGAAGAGTCAATAGCAGAAAACTATTTTTTCATACATCTAAGGCTTTGTGGTACAGCCACTGACAGATACTTTTACAGTCATCTGAAATAAAACATGAAGTGTATGCTCATATGTATAGGGAAAATGAATGATTTAATAAATACACATGAGGATTAAATATACCCACTACACTTGCTTGAGAAACACTTCAGAATAGGAAATAACTATTCTAGTTCAAGGACTGCATGATTAAACCCAACTCTATTCTGTATAGTCAGATGTGTAAAAAACACACAGCTAATTGGTAGGCAAAATCTCAATGTACCAGAATCCAATTATATAGTCTTCAAAACACTAGTGAAATAAAACTTAATGTGACATTTTTAAAGACATTATAATTTTATGGTGCTGATTTATTTTGAAAAATGGCAAGGATAAATTTAATATGCTGAAATAAATTTTTGTCTTCATTTCAGAATTTTAACTAAAAGGAATAATTCATTAAGTAGCAAATAATGAGTATGTATATGAAAATATATATAATATTTAATGTGCTTTTAATTAAAAGTTCCTTTTGTTCTTTTATTTTTTTAAAAAAATATTTGTCTTGGTTTACTGGTTTTCCAAGAAATTTGATCATTTTTATTTTCATTGCCCTCTAAATTACAGGATAGAAGGGAACAATTACTCCAAATCAGCATTAATTAAAATATGATTGGACATACACCGGTGCTAACAAAAATAATCACAACAATGAATCCATACTACTGTCATAAGTATTATACTAAGGAGTGAATTTGTTTGGCACCTCTACAGAACACTTGTTAAAATGTGTTCTTTTTTTCTACAACCAAAAACGATATACATTTAATATCATATAGTCTCTTCTTGGTGAGTAGAGACTTATTTTGTAAGCTGTTGGTATAATGAAACACCTTCAGTTGGTTACATGGATGGTTTGTAAAGAGATAGTTTCTGATCTGTAACTATGTAAGAGCAAATGAAAAAAATGAGAGGAATTAATGTCATAAAATGTTATTTACACCAGAAAATCTCATTTGATAATAAAAAGGGTAATCTTATATACAGAGTTTTGTTAATTTGTAGATTAACCTATTATTTTAAGCACTTATTATAAAGATTTCAATTGCTATATCCTCAATATAGCAACATTGCTATATTGAATAAGTAATGAATGTGATAAGAGTTTGCATTTACCAATTAATTTGCCTTTTGCTGTTTTATGTGGAAAGCTGTTTTTATTTCCTTTATAAAGCTTTGAAATTGCTAAGACTCTGCTCGGTGTTATCCATGCTGTGAAGGTTCTTTACGTCTAGGAGACAGTTCATCACGTGTTTAGTTTTGCTCTTAGAGAATCTCATCCATACCAGCATTAGGAAGCTAACACCGATGTGACCCATGATATGTACTAAAAAAGATCGATTGAATCAAGATAGTTTCATACTGTGGATGATGATGTTGATGATGATGATGATTATTTTATTATATGCGTTATTTCATTCTTTGGACTAAAAAATCTTTAAGGACAAAGATCATGGGTTATTAAAAATATTTTGTTTATAAAACATATAATATTAACCATAGTAGGAGTTAATTCATGTATTAGGTATCCATTTGACTGCAAGTAACAGAAAACTCACTGACCATAGCTTACGTAGACACAGGGAGTCATTCTCACAGAGCAAGGAAACCAGAGGTATGCATTCTGGGTTTCACGTAGAATCCAGTCTTTAAATACTTTTCCTCTTGCTGTTCTGACATTTAAAATGCTACAGGGTGGCCGTTACACTCACCTTCTTCCAGACTCATGTCTTTGTTCAGGCAGGAAAAAAACAGAGGAAAAAGCATTTCTCATTCTGATGCTTTCAAATTTTTGTAGGTGGGACACTTCTCCATCAGACCTTCCCTTCATCTCTCCATCAGTAAACCAGGTCATATGCTACCTTGAGACCAGTGAATGGTCAATGAAACGGAGGTCATTTTGGAAGATTTAGACCAATCATGGTTTAGCCCCTGGGGCTGGGACAGAGGCTTATCCTCCCAGAGATCAATAGATTCTATATTCTACCTGAAGCTTTAGTTAGCAGGGAAATAGGGTGCCATTGAGTAATTAATGGACAGTATTTGTTACATAAATACTACATGATAGAATCGATTTGTTAAAATGAATTATTTCTGTCATACGCTGTCTCCACTTGCATCTTGGTATTTTTATTTGTCTTTGTTTAGCAAAATTCAATATGAGCAATTTCTATTTCTTCGAGAATAATTACAAATGCATAAATTCTTCTATATTTTTAGTTATGCTGGAAAAGAAAATATGCAATATTGAAAAGATACATCATTTTTATCAACTTTTAAAAAATGTGAGTCTTGCTCTTATCGTTGCAAGGGAAATTCAAATGTCAATTATGTTTTTTTTTTTTTTTGTCTTTTCTTAGGCCTGAAAAGACAAATATGAATTTAGATTCCATCTATCGGTTAATCGAGGAAACACAAATTTTCCGTGCCCCGCGGCAGTCAGCGGTTCAAGCACCTTGTGACGCGGTCGCACCTGCCTCGTTCCCTCGGGAGACCTGTCACTCTTGTTTGCCCCTGTACGGGCTGCAGTCTCGTGCTGCTCACGACGTCTGTGCCCGCTCGTGTACCGCCAGTGACTGGGACATCTGCGAGGAGCTCCGGTTGCGGGAGCTGGAGGAGGTCAAGGCCAGAGCCGCTCAGATGGAGAAGACCATGCGGTGGTGGTCAGACTGCACCGCCAACTGGAGGGCGAAATGGGGCCAAGTTCGGGCCGAAAGGGACAGTGCCCGGGAGGAAGGGAAGCAGCTCAGGGTGAAGTTAGAGATGGCCGTGAAAGAACTGAGCGCCCTGAAAAAGAAACAAGGTTTGCCGCGTCCAGCGTTGGCGTCGGGGGGCAGAGTCACCCACGATCTGAAGTGTCCCAGTTTCCCAGGAGTGTCCTGTGCACACACAGAGCAATGTCAAAGGGACTCACAGACGTGCGAGTCTATCAGTGAGTGTTTGGTAAAGAGAGAACTTCCTGCGAAGGAGAACGCAAATAGTAAGGTGAGGAGAAAGCTCACAGAGGGATCTGGAAATTGTGGGCATGTTAGAATGCCTTCCATCATGATGGGCAGGAAGGGGGAATCGTAACCCGGATGGTGACTGTGGCTTCAGCAGCAGAAATTAATTTTCACACAGTTCTAGAGGCCAGAAGTTTGAGATCAAGGTGCCAGCAGAGTTGGTTTCTTTGAGGCCTTTCTCTTTGGCTTATAAATGGCTGTCTTCTCCGTGTGTATCCACGTCCACGATTCTTCTTCTTAAAAGGACACCATCATTAGGCACACCTCATTTTAACTTGACTACCTCTGCAAAGACCCTGTCCCCAGACACGGTCACATGCTGAGGTACTGGGTGTTAGGATTTCACCATATGAATTTCGAGGAGACAAAATTCAGCCATATTAGTGACCTTATGAATATATTTTTAAACAAAAATTAACCTAGCATTTATGTGAATGAAAATATTTGGAGAGATTTCACTCCATTTATCCTAATTATGTCAATAATAGTAAATTATCCGTTCAGTAGTTTAAACATTTCCCAAGATTTGGGGCTCTGGCCCCAGAATTAATTCCTGTAGGATGCATACCACAGGCAAACACCTTTATGGAATGCCTCACACAGCCTACTCTCGGAATTTCTTGGTTTACTTAGAATCATGAAGTTCCTGAAAATTCTGCAGCAAATGAACTTGAAAACTATTTAACAGTTATCCAGGAACCACTCCCCTCATTCCTCCTCCGCTTTTAACCTGGTAAATACTATTAACAACACATGGAACATACTTTGGGAAACTTGAAGAATTCATGTTACCACTTTTCATAGTATCAGTTTGTATTGTTATCTCTATCTAATTCCATCTCTGAAAACATAAAATTGCTCTTCTATAGTTCCATCTAAAATTTTAAGCCTTTCCATAATGTATTGAAGTTATAAATATAACCTAAATTTCATTGTAAATGAAAATTTTTAAAAGATTGCAACAATGTAATTACTCATGCTTATTTAGTTTCATGTTTATTTTATTTTATTTTATTTTTTAATACTAGTTAACTTTCAATTGAGGCTGTTCCATCGTCTACATCTTTGGGAAAATGTTATATATTCTCAAAATTCAATTGTATTAATGTCTGTATTTTAATGTAATGATGGAGATAAGGGAATGTAGCTCACATAAGTTACTCTGAATGTACAAATTATTTATTATTACAAGTAAGAGACACCACATTTGAGAATTCTCTTCATGTATATTTTGCTGAGAAATTCTTGGTATCTTGGGACTTCATCTGGAATACCTTTGTATCGTTACTGTCAAGAACAGATCATACATAGTAGATATTCATTAAAAGTTTGTTTATTTAGGAAAAAAACCTAGTTAAAATTCCTGGTGATGGTAGCAAAGTATTGGCTATTGAAAAAGCTTCAATTAGTTGTTTTTATTTTGACCAATTTTCCTGCTAACTCTAAGCCTAATGAGAAAGATACTTGTGTATGAAAGCATTATCTTCCCACAATATTTTCCAAGGAGAACAACACATGTGTTATTTTATTGTTTTTCAAAATAACATACATAATAACTTAATTTTTGAGGGAATGAAGAGATGAGTCATACTAGTAACCTAACATCCACATACTATTTTAAAAATAAATACTAAAAATGAAACATCATTAAGATTTTATTTGAACTTGGCTTTATCTCATTTTAAACCCACAAATCAGGATAAATTTAAACTATAGACAAATATTTATAGAATGAGTTTGATAAAGTTTAGGAATTACGATATAAGATTTTGATGCAGTGTGCTGTTATGATAAATGATACTCATATGTATTAAAATGTCTCATTAAATTCTATTTGATCTTTAACTAGTGATCTAAAAAATAGTTCAATAAATAGCTTATTAAAACATTCAAGAGTTCCTTGAAAATTCTTTCTACCCGTCCTCCAAAGATGTTAAAAAATAATCACTTGGCTTTACTTTGAAACTCTCAAGTGCCTTGTGACAAAATCAACTTTAAAGAGAAATTCATAAACTCATTAAATAATTCTTTACAGCTGTTTAAGTTTATGCAGGGCTATTTTTAGCTGAGATTAGAAAAAGAAAACTTTAAAAGTTAAAGCGGACTTTTTGAGAACTGTATTTTATTATAATAAGGTAGAACATGGAAGGAAAGAAAAACAATGGTTGAAGAACGCAATTTAAAGTTTGGCCTGAGTCATAACATTTATTTCCTTCCAAATATATGGAAATGTTATTTATGATTTTTCTACTGAGAGATTTAAAAAATTCAACAGTAACAATTGTTTTATGTTTTTTTTCCTTTCAGGAAGAAGGTTTGATTCTTGACCCATTAAGATTAAATGAAGAGATGAAACTCAATCCTGATCATCCTAATTTATTCAAGAATGGTGGGTCTGAAGACTGTACGGTGAAACCTGGATTAACACTGCAAGCGGTGAACCTGCCTTTGGGGAATGAAGTGCCCGAAATTTCTCCTTCGCAGGTGCATTTGGATGAGTTCCAAAAAATCTTATGGGAAGAAAGAGAGTAAGTGCTAATCGTTGTCTTCCCTAACCAAGTCTGATTTTCAGAATTCTTAAAATTGTTAAGTCTAGAAAACTGGCCATTTGATAACATATTTCACCCATGACTAGTCATGATGTTCTAATATTTAATAAATGTTATGCATATACCAACATATACTTAGAGATATTGGTATATATTTACTTTTTAAAATTTGAAGGGTAATTTATAATTTATTAGGTTTTATCATTCTTTTATGGTAACCTTGTCATCATCTCTGGTAGGTTTACCTTAATTGTATTTGAATTATTAATAAATATATGGTTAAAGTAGTCAGTGTATTTTTATAACATTACAGTCAATAAAGTGAAAATAATATTAAAAACAGACAACTCACAATTTTGTGAGGTATTCATCATGGAAAAAGACACTTACTCATTGACCTTTTTTGGTATAGAGGAAAGAGCAGTAGACTTGAGATTAAGTGGCTTGATATTCATCTTGGCTTTGCCATATTCTAGCTGTATGATATTGAGTTAGCCAAGAGGGTGCTATATTCTCTTCTGTAAAACTATGGATAGCGATGCTTATGTTCCATTTTTCTATTGTTTTGTAACAGAACTTCCCAAATTACGGTTATTCAAATAACAATCACCATGTATCCATTTATGAATCTTGAGTGTGGCTTTGCTATGTGTGGCTTCAGAAGGGATAGCTCTAAAGCTGGAGGAGACTTGAAGCCTGGAGACTGGCCTCATCTGAAGCCTCACTCACTCCCAAATTTGGTGACAGACCTTAGTTCCCATCTCAGGCCTCAGTGGTAACACTTGCATGTGGCCTATGTGGTTTCCTGGCTTCCTCAAGGCACAGTGGCTGTATTACCAGTGAACATCTTAAAGGCATGCAGAGAAACCTATCGTATTTTAATGACCTTGCCTGAAAAGTCACATAGCACCACTTCTGCCATGCTTATTGGTGGAGACAGTCTCAAAGGCCGCCTTGGGTTCAGGGAAGAGGTGCACCCTCAGTGAGAGCATGCCGAAGTCCTGATGTAGTAAGAGTGTCGGAAAATGCAATCTGCCATTGCTTTCTTCACTTTTAAGCCTTTTAAGGATCAAACACAAATAATGTCTGAGAAAGTGACCACTTATATGCTATTTTTTGTTTCTATTTGAGGGAATATTTGTGGACTATTTGATGCCCTTTAAAATGTGGTCCCCAAATTTGAAATTTTTTTTCTACCTCTTTAGTTATAAAACTCTTAGTAGGCAGAATAAAAAACAAACTGGGAGTAATATATATAATTAAGTATGAATATATTTGTATATTATACAATGGTTTTAATTTCCATTGTTTAAATGGATTGAAATAGTGATAAGTATGCACACAAGCCTTTCACAAATACTGTAAGTTTTTTATCTGTCATTTTTGTTCTGTCAGCCAGAAATTTCTTCTTAGTTTCTCTGAGATTGATTCGTACCCCTTAACTTCTTTTCCAGATTCTTTGTCTATACGTCACTTTATGAATAGATTGTTATAAAACAAGCTTGTGTGTATTCAATAAATATTTATTATTCTGCCCTCAAGTATAAATTTTTAACAGAAGCAATCAACATTAGTAGAAAAGGGAATAAAACTGAATTAATTTTTAGTCCTGTATCCATATTAACAATTAATTTTATCTGTAACTGTAGGTCTCAATCAGGTTCTAAACTCTGTTTTATTTCTTGAAGGATTTAACTTTTCACTGGCTACAGACTTCTATCAAACCCACACACAACGCTACCTCACTGACATAGTGTAACAGGAGCGACACGAAACAGCTCTGTCCTAGAGGTAGAGTCTCTCTAGGACAGAGGTCCCAGTGTGAATGATATGCACGTGATGTGTATCTTTGCTCCCTCCCTCATGCACGTACACACCTAGCCGTATACGTGACTTCCTGGGAATAAATTAACAACCGCCATACAAGCACGTCCTCCATTTCTCAGCAGCTTCAGCATTCAAACCACAGACAGGCCAAAGACGAAGGGGGAGCGAAGGCCTTTCATTGTTCTGTAAGTTCAGCTTCTTAGATTCCACAAATATACATACCAAATTTTCGTTATCTATTCATCTGTCCACGGACACTTGGGTCATTTCTCTATCTTGGGTATTGTGGACAATTCTGCAGCGAACATGGGAATGCAGCTGTCTCCTCAAGATACTGATATTTTCTTTGGATATATACCCAGAAGTGGAATTGCTGGATCATAGGGTAGTTCTAGTCTAATTTTTTGAGGAAGCCACACACTGTTTTCCATAGTGTCTGTACCAGTTTACATTCCCACCAACACGAGCTTCCCTTTGTGCCTCAGCCTCGCCAACACTTACCTCTTGGCTTTTTGATGGCAGCCATGCTAACAGGTATATATAAGCTGATACTTCACTGTGGTTTTGATCTGTGTTTTCCTGATTAGTGATGTTGAGCACCTTTTCATATACTTTTTGGTCATTTATGTATCTTTAGAAAAATGTCTATTCCAGTCCTTTGCCCATTCTTTAATTGGGTTACTTTATTTTATTCTATTTTATTTTTCGTTGTTGAGTTGTATGAGTTTCTTATATATTTTGGCTATTAACCCCCTACCAGATAGATGATTTGCAAATATTTTCTCCCATTACACAAATCGCCTTTTCATTCTGTGGATGGTTTCCTCTGCTGTGAAAAGCTTTTCGGCTGGATGTAGAGTCCCACTGTTTATTTCTGTCTCGTTGCCCGTGCTTTTGGTGTTGCATCATGAAAATCATTGTCAAGACCAATTCCAGGAACTTTTCCCCTGTTTTCTTCCAGAAATTCTGTAGCTTCAAGTCTTATATTTAAGCCTTTCATTTGTTTTGAATTAATTTTTGTGGACTTTTGCCATTTCTTACTCTCTAGTATCTATTTTGTGTTTAGGCCATTGTCCACCTAAAGAGACAGAGTCTGTTTTTCTGCCGAGACTGGGAAAAATGCGAGTCAGTCTCTAGCTCCATCCGTCTTGCAGTTCAAGTGCAGGCATTAGACCTGGGAGCAGCTCTTCGGAGGCAGCTACCTGGCCTATTTAGCACCCATAACCCTTCCTAGGGTGGAGGATGTCAGCGGTCGTAGCCATATCTTATCTCCAGAGGAAGAAGTGGCTTCTGGTCTCCGCTGATGCCAGCCTGAGGCTCTAGGTGTTGGCGTTGCGGTCACGCTGTGCTGTCTGTGACTTAGTGGGGGCCTCCATGGGTGCCGATGGGAAGATTCTGATGGCCTTATGTTTGTGTCTTCTGGCTTCGTGGGTTCCCCATTTGCTTCTCTGGCTCTCCCAGATTTTTTTTTTTGACCTATTAATTTTCTTTTCTGCTAAAATTAGCTAATATGAATATATTTGTTTGCTGGACCCTAATTGATCCTGGGAAAGTGTACCAGCAACAGGCAGGGAAGGCAATGGGCAGTGGGGTCTTCATAGGACCAGTTCTGTGGCATGAGAGGGGGCTTTGGTGTTCCTGGATGTATCACCTCCAAGCCTTGGTCTCTGGTCTTCCTGGACATCTTCGAGCTTAACAGTATTCTTTAAATTATCTCTTTTCTAATTAAATTAACTAAATGGCTATTTGCTGAAAGATGCCGAAAATGAAAGATGCTGAAAGACATAATTATAAATAGTTGGGAATGCAATCAGACAGTGGCAAATATTGAAAGTATACTTGGTAAAAATTGTTATTATTCATAATAAATGTTCTAAGTATTCATAAATAACAAACAAATAATAAATAAACTAAGTATACATAAATACTTAGTTTAGATTTTGGACTAATAGAAAAATAGATATCTAAATGTTATTACAAGTCAATTATTTTTGTCTGGTACAAAAATTCTACATTAATAGAACTATAAAATAATGCTGATTAGATATTTTACAATGAATTTTCACAGTTTATAAATGATTAATATGTATTTCCAAATATTAATGTTTCAGGAATTTTCACCTCTGAGAAATATTTTGTATAATCTTCCTGTTTAGATAGCTAAATTTTATGCCCAATTATTATGGGATCATGATAGTTTACAAAGTATCAAAAGATTGCATAGAAATATAATCACACTTTCCATAAAAATTATTTTGGTTTACACTTTATCTTTTCTATTCTGCAAATTTATGTAGTTTAGCAATCCAATTTTTAGAAGTTTATAACATATTAAAATGCTGTATTTTTACTGATCTTTATCTTAATTTAGTTTTTTAAAAAGAATTTGTGTATAAAATATGCACTATCCTTCAGGGTAAAATTACTTTTTTTCTTTGCCTTTTTGTAGTTCAAGTACTATGATGATAGCTTAAATTTTCATTAAAAATTTAACTGTATAAGTAATCGATTATGAAAATCTCTCTAAAATATAGAATAAATTGATTAGGCCAGAAAATTAAAGATTAAAGAGTGCCCTCTGCTGCATAAATGTGAGTGTGCAATGTCCTTAAGGCTTGCATAGTCACAACATTTTTTTGATAAGGCTATACTAAAAAATATTTAAGCATCACGTTGTCATTAATTTTTATGAATTGCCTGTCTTCTCATTTCTCTGATTAAATTGTACCTTTTTACATAAAAAAATACAATTTTTTTTCAGTAAGCTAATAATCAGTTTTTTTATTTAAGATACATACTAAGAGGAATAAATATATTTATTACTAATTTGCTTTAAATAAGGAGTACAAATATTGATTTTATATACTTTAATAAAATTATATTATTTTTATTTTATGAACTAGGAATACGGATGCTAAGTCTAGATATAACCTAGATATAGTTATATCTTTAGAATATACCCATATTTCTATATACATGAGATTAAAGTTAAATAAATTTATAGTTTGAAATGTTCTTGAACTTCTTATAACATCCTAGAAGGAATAGTTATCCTGGTAATTTTGGTGACCTTTTTGAAAATTAGCATTTATTCTTCAGTGATAATAAATCTTTTTTATGTTAATGTGACCTCTTTTGGCTAACATTATCATTTGATTTATTAAAGTGTAATGTTAAAATCTGGCATTGACTTTTCAGCATGTATTATTTTGAACTCGTAAATTTAAAATTTGAGACATTTTTCAAATTTTCAAGTACGATTTTTATATTCTATTTATAAATAAAATAATTCTCAAAATTAATTTTAAGGAGAAATTTATCAGTGTATGCTTCAGTATACACATGTAATTAATATCCTTTAATAAAAACTGTTTATATTTTACATATATCTTAAAAAAAATTTTTTAATGCCTAAAAACATTCTCATGTTCTATTCATGTTACTCCAACAAATAAAAATTCAGGAGAAAGCAGATAGAAAGTCAATTATTTTGACATGGGCAAAGCTCAATGAAATATGTTTAACCTACTGTAAAGCTAATTGACAGATTAACAAATTAAAACAGCTTTTATTCAATATTTATAATTTTTAATAAACTGAAAAAGGTTTTCTGTCATGACAATGACCATATATAAATATGAAAAATTAGGAAAATAGCATATCTAAAATTGAAGGCATTTCTACAACTATTTTTAAATCGTAAGTCTATTTCGCTTGTAATTCTTCATTTAGAATGCGTTCATCTTTGGAAAAAGAAATAGAACGGCTGGAGTCAGCTGTGTCTCTGTGGAAACGGAAGTATGAAGAACTGAAGGAGTCGAAGGCAAGAAGCGTGGACGAGGTATGGAGACGTCCAGGGTAAAGGAATGAATGAAACGAGGCTTTCTCTGCCCACTGTGCGACCTGCTGGGCAGAAGGCAGCAGGCTCCACAGACAAGAGGAAAAGAGGTTAACAACTTGGATTTCCTCTATGAGAGGAATACTGAAATTGTGTCACTAGTAGACTCAGACTCAGGCCATTAGAGATCTCGTTCCGAATAACTCATTTATATTGATCAACCACCTGACACAATGAACTGTTCATTTCAGGCACATGTGAGGGGACTGCTGAAGATGTCATTGTATCATAACAAACATCCATATTAAATAATTGCATCTTTTTCTTTTATAAAGCAGTCTGAAAATATCAATATATCCCAAGCGTATTTAGATTCTTTTCATACTGGCTTTATCGTTGCCACTTGTTATAGTTTTCCTTTGCATTTTCATCGATAGAATTATGTCATGAACCCTTTCCATTTTAATTATTTTTGATATTCATTATTTAAACAATATTAATTGAACATATGTGCTCTACTAAAGCATTGTGCTAGATGAATATGTGGGATAGAATAATGAGCAAAGAAAAATACTAAGCAAAAATAATGACAAGCTAAATGCTCTCGAATGACTCAACATTTAGCTGATGCCTATGCAATATATATGTGTTTATATACAAATATATACACACATACAAACCATATGTGTGCCGACAGCTGTCTGAAGAAGCCGAGTGTCTAAATCAATTACGTAATCGTGTCTTAGTCTGAAGCCCTCTTCCATCAGTTGTTACTTGGTGAGCTAGGTGACAATGCCTTGCAGAGACGTGGCAGAGTTCCCATATGAATGTTGCTTCAGGTTTGTTTCCAGCAAGTGATAAAGCTCAGCATCATTAACTTAAGTTTGCTGAATTCACATGATGGGATGTTCAAGAAGCTTAGGTGCCAGCACGTGCCTTAATTCCAGATCATATGCGGGCAGCCCCATGGCCACAGAGCACGGTCATTACCATGCACAAGTTCAGAAATAGTCAGCTGTGTTAGCCCTGAGGACTACTGAGATTTGAAAGGAGGAAGAGCTTTTCCTAATATTCTTAAGCAGTTATCTCCCACATAAAAATCATTTATAACAAAAAGTAATTTCAGTGAGAACCATACAAGGTTAGTCTGAGAACATTTCTCTATAAGGGGTAAATTAAAGAAAGCTAACAAACTCGATTCAGTTTACTTCTTTATGGATTCATGTGAGATTGTCAGAGAGGTTCTGTTTCTAGAATAAACTTTGGAGATATATATATGGTGTGTGTCTGTGTCTGCACATGTGTGTGCATGTATATACATGCATGCATTTTTATGTGGACTCAGTATTCTCAGTATTTATATTCACAGGTAGCTAACTGAACATGATGTCTCTAGGTGTGAACATTTATAGTAAATTAATTGTATACAGGAAAAATAATTCACAACAAAAAATCTTGCTATGCTTAGAGTCTACGTGTATTTTCTCTGTAATACGATGGGCTATAAATTTAATTGAGAAAGCTAATATTTAAGATAGAACTGGTCTTAATTTTAAAAGAAAAATGCACTTACTATATTTTGCCACTAGTGGGTAGTATAGACTTGATAATGCTAGTCTTGTAATGCTTGATATCAATTACTTATACAAGTAATTTAACATTTATGTAGCAACTGTTTTTGAAAAAGTCATGGTTTTGAGTTGGTCTGCAAAGCGATATGTATATTTTAAATGCTTAATGTTTTCTATGCAAAGATGGTATTTCTGGTATCAAATGGGAAAATGTGTATTTTGAGTTGCTTAACAAAGCTCTATAGATGAGAAGAAACGAATGTAGCATTTACAGTATAAATTGGGTCTATATTTTGATGCCCCTACAGGAATATATGTTAATACATATGTAATCTTTTAGCTAGGTCAAATGAGAATAGGGTTGTTGGGACAGAGGAAACTTCAAATTTTCTGTGGAAAATTTCTTCGACTATTTAAAGTTTGAGGGCTCGTTTTAGTTAGAGGAACTGAATTTGAACAATGAATGACAGTGGCAGTGAATGAAAAGAGTTTTTATTGTAGATGATGGAAGTTAATATAAACCGAGATAAAGAAAAATGTCATTTGAATTATTTACATGACTATTGTTTTTTAAAATATCTCTTTGCATTTCCTTAAAAAGGAATTTGTAATATTCATAGAGCCTTTTTGATGAAATGTGATATGCACATACATTTAAATTATTTTTATGAAATATTAAGAAATGTTTAAAATATTTAAAACTGAATAAATAATAATACTTAGTCACATGTAATTACTTATATATACTTGTTTAATTGTTTTATACTAGATGATAACAAAACAAGATTTTTATGGTACATTTAGAAGTGGCATTATAGAGTAATTATGAAGGTAAAATATTCAAAGTTCTTATACAGTTGACTGACAATCAAAACCTGTGTCATGATGCATTCTTTGGAACCTCATGAGGTTCCCTTTTCTTCACTTCTCAAAAATTCTGAAAACTACCTTAGCTTTCTCTGTACCTCTTCATCTACTGTACAAAAAGTATTGAATGCAAGTGTAATTCTTTTTCAGATGCTGAAACCGTTACCAGCGAATACACGTCTTGCTAGGAACTGCTGATGAAAAGCTTAGCAATTTTTAGAGTTGAAAACAGATGTGCTAATAGACCAAGATTTTTTAAAATGTATTTCAAAGTCTGGTGTGCTTTAGAGGGAACTCGTTCTTAAATCACTGACATTTAGAGAAGAATTTAATTGTAAAATCTAATAAGTATTTAAAACACAACCAAGACAATGAGTAGTAGAGATGATTACTTTCGAAATGGTATTCCCATGCTGAATTTCATACTTATTTAGTTTTTCCTTTGCAAGTCTGCTAATATTGATTTGGGATTAGATTATGCATTCCAAGTTTGCTGAAATGACCATTTTTATGAAATCTCATGATCTAGAAAATCAAATGTTCATGTAAGTAATATTGATTACAAATAATTTTTGTACCTTCCTTTAACAATAAATGACTAATTCTTTCCATAATAGATACTTTTTACCACATATGAAGGATACTGCTAACATTTTATAATTGATATCAAGCAGAAAAATGCAATGTAGCTTTTTAATCTTTCTTTAAAAAGTATGTGCTTTTACCTGGCATATTTTTATGGATTTTATTAAGAAATATTCTATCTTTTTTTGTGATAGCAACAACGTTCCTAGTAGTTTATAATTTACAGTGTTCTTTTATAAAAATTTATAGTAAATATTTAAAGAGACGCAGGCTTCCTGGGGCCTCTTTAATGGTTCTAATAGCTTACGTTGAAGCCTTACCTCAAACACCTCAAAGCACCTCTCTAATCTGGGAGAAATGAGAAAGTTAGAATTATGAATTATATTGTTGCTAAAATTCTACACTGATACCTTCACTTTGAAAAAGATTATGTCATATGGGAGCTATTTTGCATACATCAAGAGAGGGTCATCGAAGATACTCTCCTCCTCCTCTTTTTTTTTTACCAGCTGGGGGCGGGGAGGGTAGAAGGATACTTCTCCCTCCCCCATCCTCCTTCACATACCTCCAGACCATCCAGGTAACTACCAAGAAGGCTGCAGGGAGGGCTTGTGTTCTAATCCAGCAGAGCATGGTTTCCCTTCCGAATGCGTTTCCCGCTGCCCCCACACCTGTCATTCTGCCTCGTTCACACTGACCTCCAGCCTCACTGGCTTCCATTCATTTCATCAGATCCACCCAACTTTCTTCCGCTCAATCCCAACCTGCCCGCAGCAAAACCCGACACCGAGCCTCCGAAATGGCGCCAGTCCCCAAGGTGATCAGCCCCGCTACCTGGCGGCAGGTTGACAGCACTGGACTGTTTCCATGCTCGAGGGCGCAGCTTGCTGGGAAGGATGCTCTAAGCAGGGATTCGCCTTCCCTGCCGTCCACGGACTCACAGAATGCTGGCTCCGCCCTCATCGTGTCCCACAGAGCATGGCTTCTGATCAAGGCACTCACTTCTCAGCAGAAGGGATGGAGCCACGGGTCTTTGCTCATGAAAGCCACTGATCTTACAAATGTCCCCCTGTCCTGAAGCCGCTGGCTCAGTAGAACAATGAAATGGCCTTTCGGAGATCAGTTACAGGGCCAGCGAGGTGACAATGCCTTGCAGAGACATGGCAGAGTTCTCAGAAGTCGGGGTGTGCTCTGAATCGGCATCTCATGTATGCTGTCCTTTCTCCAGCAGCCAGGATTCACAGATCCAGGACCCAAGGGGTGGGAATGGGGGTGGCACCGCTGGCTACTACCCCTAGTGACCCATCCACCATCAAAACTTTTGCTTTCTGCTCTCGCGATGTTATTCTCTGCTGGCCTACAGTTCCTAGTTCCAAAGGGAGGGTGTTTCTACCGGGAGACACGTGACTCCACCGAACGGAAGGTGAAGGCTGCCGCCCGGGCGGGTTGCACTCTGTGCCAGGAGTGGAGTTTCTGTGCCACCTGGGGTGAGTGGCCCTGCCTGTCGAGAGGACATTGGACTTCTCCACAGTGGAGGTGAGGAAGAGGGGGTCTGGAACACAGGAGGCCCCTTACCTGAGGGAGCCTCTTAGTATTACCATGCCCTGTGATTAAGGTCAATGAAAATCTGTGACGACCGGACTCAGGCACGATTGCGATGGCCCAGAGCCTCAGGAATGAAGGTTCGGGGCATCCTGCCCGGTAAAGGACATGACCAGCTGAAGTGCTCGCTGACTGCAAAGGGAATTCAGAGCAGACAGACGAAGAAGGTAGCTACGACCCTGTGACCAGCTGCAGAAGCAAGGACAGGAACTGCCATGAGTATTTATTTCCTCATTTTGCTTGAATACATTTGTGTGTGATCTCTCCCTCTGTCTGTCTGTCTCTCTCTGTCTCTGTCTCTCTCTGTCTCTCTGTCTCTCTCTGTCTCTCTGTCTCTCTCTGTCTCTCTGTCTCTCTCTGTCTCTCTGTCTCTCTCTG